AATTCTGGGAGTTGAAGTCCATAAGTCTTAAAGTTGCCAAGTTTGGAGACCTCTGATCTAAACTAATTTATGCCTCTATCCTATAGGCTCTGCTAAGCCACACCATTAGCCTATTCTCTTCAGTAGTCTTATAAATATCATTGGAAGGCTGCCTGTAACTTTAGAATAGTTTGGGCCAAGATGGTACTTCTCAGGACTCTGCATGAGATCTTGTCCATTTATGTCCTGCTCAGATTTTCTAGCAGCTTCAGCAGATCACTTTCTGGTACCAAATCATAATCAATTTGAGAATATTCTAATGAAGCTGATACTTCTTTTCGAATGCTATTTCTTAAATGCTGGAGATTGATTTATTTCAGACTAGAGCAAAGTTGAAAAAATTGGGTGAGGAGATTGTCTACTTCAGCCTCAGAGGCTCTTTCAGTAAAAAAGATTTTTCAGTCTGGTTTAACGTTTATCTGTGGGACTTATAACAGTCAGGAAAGGAATGTGTACACTTGTATTTGCTTTCTTTTTTCTTCATTTTTACTTGCTGAAACTTTGCAGCAGTCTCCTGTGTGTTTTCAAAGAGAGCAAACTCTATTATTAAAAATAATAATCCCAAATAATTAAAAGTTATACAGTACTGTAAAATGATAATGAAAAGTGTTCATTTTCAATCAGATTCAGCTTCTGATTTCTACACAACACAAATTCAATAAGCTTTCCTCCAGCAGAGATAGAAACAAGAAATAGTGCAGTTCCAGCTTTTTATGTTATATGATTCAATACAATTTAGAGAAAGCAGGAAATAAATTAGATACTTTCTTACAGACAATAGATATTAACTCTGAAGCAGAGTTTGGCTACAAATTCCATATCATACCATAGTTTTCTTAGAAAATAAGCTTACTGCATATTTTCAGGTTTCATTTTTGCCATTTGTATGTGTAGGTATATATTTACATATATTTCTTTAAAATATAGCTAAGGCTGTAAGCAAATCTTTTCATGGAGCATTTAAAAATCTATGCAGAAACAGCATCACTGAAGTTTTAAAAATAGTTGGTCTTAGCTATTGATTTTCTAGAAATATCATACACCCATGAAGATTTATGATAATCAAGCCCGTCAGTAACGCAATTGGAAATGGTAATTGAAAGTGGTATCTTGCAAAGTACATCCTAGTATCTCATCTGTGGAGCTCCTGAAATGTGCATCTTGTTTGTGTTCCAAGCAATAGAAATCAAGACTGAAAGGCACAGGGGAGAGAGGGAGAGAGAAAATAAAACCCTTTTGAATAAAATATTTGGAAAGGCACTTTGTGTTCTGATCAGATTCTCCTGTTTATGTGAAATGGACTCATTTCTCGGCGGCACACAGTTTTATTACACAGCAGGAAAGAAGTGCTTGGGGATAATACCTGTTTCACATGCATGTCAGTATAATGAATGCTGCTATTGTTCTTCCTTCCATAACCACCCACATGGTAAGGCGTTATGAACAAAATGAGGATTTATATAAATAGAGTTTTCGTTTTATGGAAAAGCTGCTGATCCAACGGATTGAGCATCTTTCGCTTGCCACCCACTGCAGCACTATAATGCAAGATTTAACTCTGAATTTGCTTTTAACTTTCTCGCGTGGAATTCCCCGGGCCTTGCACTACTTATTATAACGATATTTTGCCCTTCTTTATGTAACCATGACTATTCTGAGTTGCTTTGCTGTTAGGTGTACCACAGCAGGCAAAACACTAGCTGGCTTTTCTTTTCCGTAGCTCTTCCTGAAACTTTTTGTCATATTGCTGTTATAGAGGTCATGATAAATGATTCCCAGAGCACTACCAGGCCAGGGTCCATGGCACTTTATTTCCCCAATGATTTCTAATACTGTTAGAAGTAATGTCCCAGTAAAAATTACCACTTCTAACCTTCATTATAACTTAATGGTGATGGTGGTGTTGAAAGTGGGATAGGAAGAATCCTATGATTTGATTCACACCTCATGCAAAATGAATAATGTGATTTGTTTGAGGCTTAACAGGATGCAAACATGAAACTGAATGAATAAGCTATTATTAGTTTTAGGTAATGATTCACATATTGAAATGATGGGAGGAAGGTTGTTTCATTCTGTATGAATAAGAATACAGAATTAAGTTGTGGATTCTGACTGATGCCTTATTTATTTGTACCCCATCCAATCCTGAACTAATTTGCAGAGGATAAGGCAACTGCAGCTAAAGGAAGGCAGAAACAACAAGTTAGACAAACAAGTTATAATCACTTTGCTCATATGAAGTACAGCAGCTTGCATCTGGCTTGTTCAACAAGCCATGGTTGGAATGCAAACAGTGAATATTTGTGATGGGAGATCTCTCTCTCTCTCCCTCCCTCCCTCCCTCCCCCCTTCCCCCCACTCTCTCCTCTCTCTCACACACACATATGTATTATATATAAAGAGTTTCACAGCTATGCAAGTCTGTCTTGAAAGTGTCGTAGCCTTTGAAGCTGCTGTTTGCCACACCAGATGAAGCCTACCCTGCTATAATAAACCTTTATTTGAAAGCTTTTGCTTGTCAAACAATTTGTTGCTTGAGCACATGATCCAAGAAATTCTGGGAAGAGAGAAATTGAAGCATTATTCCTCAGATTGCTGCCAGATATTCTCTTCCTGATCCCTTTGTTGTGAACAAACAAAGCACTGGAATGCAATCATCTTAACAAATTTGCTTTTGAATTTCATGCAAGCTTCTGTTCTGCCTGACATCCCATAACTGTATATCAAAATGTCTTGATGATGCTGCATGTTCTCAAAATGGGAGAGCACTATCTCTCACACCATGCCATTTTGATTGGCTCTCAGGAAACCTTTCAGAAAAAGCAGCGGTAAGATCTGTCAGGCATGGATACTATGAAGTTATTTCTTATTATCATTTTATTTATTATTAAATCTATTGGCCGTACATCTTACCATAGGGTAACACTTGTCTATTTAGGACTCATCCCGAAAATCTACATGGCAAATATCTGGAAGAACCTCAGTAATAAACAACTGAAATTGTCTATTTTTTCCTTCTTTAATAAGATTACATGTAGATTAAAATGCATCTAAACATACCTGCCTGAACTTTTAAAAATGTATAAAAGGATGTAAGGCCCCTGATTCTAGTGGGAGCTTTTAACTGCTTCTCATCTAACTATCCCAGTAGCTTTTATTAAAACACATAGACAATAAAAATTCAGTGGGTGAGTTTAAATGAACCCAGTGGCCCTTGGCTTGACAGATCCTTTGGAAAAATGCTAATGTTTCAACACTGGATGTTTTATCCTCCAAGTGTGAACGACAGTGATGAAGAAAACACTTTGGAAGGTTTAGGCCTACTACCTTTTAACAAATGCCAAGAAAAAACTTTCTCTGCCCAAATATTTCTCTAGAGAAGTCTGGAAATTTTAATATGCATGCTAAGTTGTCATTTTGGGAGTTCACTGAAAAAAGAAAGCCTAATAATAGTGACATTTATATATAATCTAACAAAAAGGTGGTGAGATCAAGGAAGTCCAATGAGCTATAAAAATGAAAGAACTCTGAATGGCTTTAAAGTACATTCAAATTTATCTCCAATCATTTCAGACATTTTGTGGCCATTTATTTTGCTAATTAAATTGCCTAAATTTTCTTGGTGATAAATGTATAGCGTGGAAAGTAGAACCCAGAACAGGGTTAATCCTAGTTCAAAATCCCCTTTGAACTCTGAAGCCCATCAAGACATTTTCATGCAGTTTCCATGAAGATAAAATTGGGCTGGTCATATCTATCCCCTCCGAGCTCCTTGGAAAAATGGATCATTGTGCATGCCCCTTTTTAATGCCTGATTTATTTAAGAATGGTCATTCTCAGTTTCACTTCCTCCTGCCTTCCCTGCCTGCTTCCTCGTGATTATCTTTTGCTTGATGTGAGGAACTGGGGCTCTTTCAATACTTTTTGCGGCTCTGCCTGTGGGAAAAGAATGTATTATTTGTGTTTAAAGACGGATGTTTTGAAATGTTCAATCACCGCAACTGCTTCCCTCTTCCTAAATTCCGATGATTGCTTAGCAACCAATTGCTTGACTTCTATAGCTCAGCCACCCGGTAGGCATGCCATGTTTTACATTTGTCATGAAATGGGGAAGAGCCATCATGGAAATTAGCTAGCAATTGGCCTCTTAAAAATCGGAAATCATAAAATTCGGAAAGAACAGGGTATGAAGCCAAAAGCAGGAAGAGGGCCTCGGCTACATGGCTCATTTTGGTGAGTTGTTAGGAGTTTCAGTCAAAGTTCCTCAGCAACCTGAGGCACAGGAAATCACAAAAATGCTGAGCGCCTGCCATCAAGCACCTTTTCTTACATGTAAATTCTAGGTTGCGTACGGCAGCTCAGGAGGCAGGCTTTTCAGGAACAGGTACTATTTAAAATCTTCGAGAGAGGAAACTTTTCAAAACTTAAATTAGGTCCCCATTTGAGGTTTATGATTAAGGTAAGTCACACAGTCAGCCAGATGTTCAGAGTGGATTTGGCATTTTTATCCACTTATCGAGTCCTTCTGGGGTAGGCAGTTGCTGTTTGATGTTGTTTATGGTATTGTCAGAGGGTATAAGCTCTTCCAAGTTACGCTGTCTTTTGCAATTGGGCAGTTGTGGTGGTGTGGTCATGACGATTGTGGCGATAGTAGTGGTGGTTATAAGAAGATTTTTTTCAGGAACGGTTGGAAAGGAAAATCTGGCATTGCAGACAAAAATCCAGGCTCTGATAAAAGTCTGAATCTTGCCCGCTGCAGAAGACTTTTGATGAAATTCCTTTTGAAATCTGGCCTCCTTCACAATCCTTTTGGGAAGCCACTCTCATCTTTTCCAGAATAGCATTCATGGCATTCAGAGAGCTGATATGGAAAATAACAAATCACAAATGACAAATGATCCATTAACCAGATATCACCCATGTTCATCTGTTATTCTCCTCTCTTATCTTTTCTGAAGGTGCAGAAGAAGAGAAAGGAAAGCAGGTGATTGATTCCGTGCAGCCGGAAGGGCAATGCGATACAGAAAACATTTCAAGTATTGATGGTAAGCTTCCCAAGACCATTTTTTTTGGGGGGGGGGGGGGGGGGGGGGCAAGGAACATACCCCTCCCTTTCTTAAAATATGGACTCACCTCATTCGAAGTCAGTCTGCAAAAAGTGTGGATTTATGCAAGCCACCAGCCTTCCCAGCTGTGAAGCACAAGGAATGCTTTACTGCCCTCACTTATACAATTGAACTTTCAATGGGATTCAGGCCTGAGCACTCAAGCAGGGGACTGACACTAATTTGCCTAAGCCAAAAATTCCACTGCCACAAGGAACTCAACTGTAAAGCAAATGCACACACAAAAGCAGTTCATTTCATGCCTTTGTTCTCTCTTGTCTCCCTGTCCCATTCTGTGAACCAGTCCATTTCTAGTCAAGGTGATAGGATTAAAAATTAGCACCAACTGAACGCAGAGAATGTCAGCCTTCCCTTTAGTCACTTTTATATGTCAGCGTTAAATCTGCAGACAAAACCCAGCGAGATTTCATTAATTCATTCCAACGTTTGGGGCTGATTGTTTAAGTTTGCCTTGCTGAACAACAGAGGTGTAGGCACCAGGGTTCATTATGAAGCTAGACACCTTCAGGCAGCGTGTATCCATTTTTGTGAAACTACCTATTTTGGATTTTATAAAGAGCTAAATGGCCTTTTTAGAAGAAATAGATGGGATCATGAACCAAAGAAGTAGAAAATGAAAAAGAATACTGTTTCCTTACAATGTTCATAATCTGATAATGTATTTCAGGGTCTACAGGATGGAAAGGCTAAATTTCCATTCCCTGGTATGCCATGGTTAAAACAAGGCATACTCTCTTGGTTTACAAATGGTGCTAAGGTATAATCATCATTACATGCTACAGTGGCTAATTCAATCATAATGTAGCTTATAAGGTTATCCTGTGATTTATTAAACAACATATGATTAAAATAGAACTGTGTGATATAGATAGATAGATAGATAGATAGATAGATAGATAGATAGATAGATAGATAGACAGTCAGACAGATGGATAGATATAGAGATAAATAGATATAGATATTGACAGACAGACAGACAGACAGACAGACACACACACACGGCTGTTAGCACATTGGCTAGATAGTATCATTAATGCAATGAACATTTATTTGGGCAAACTCTGGCAGATAGTGGAAGATAGGGGGACCAGGCATGCTATGATCCATGGAGTTGCAAAGAATCGGACATGACTTGGTAACAATAATATAAGTACATATTAAATTCTAGTAAACATGCACAATAATTACAGAGCTACATGCAGAGTGAAAAGGTTGACATGGATTTGCTATGCTGCCGTGTCTTTTTTTAGCCCGTGCATGCCAACATTTCCAACTCTAACCCTTAACCCTTTTGTTTGAAAATGCTGGGCTGTTGTTATTTCTGACTGAAGAATAAGTATATTCGCAAGCTTCAATCCAGGCTTCCTCTTATTTGCTTCCTTTAGTTGTGTCTTTCAATGTGTATTTTTTTAAAAAAAAATCCATATAAACAATGCTTGAATGATTTCATTATGCAAACAACAATTTGTGATAGATGTTTATCAGATAATGAAACGATTCTTGCCCAAACAGTCCAGTATCATCAATACCCATTTCTTTTAGATTATATAGATTATGTACTTCACTGATAACAGCTAATAGGTTTGGTTCACTTTCTATCCTAGGCATCTGTTCCTAAGAAGATGACATAAAGATAAAGAATTGTCTGTCATGATGCCATGATCCAAACTTTGTATGTTTGAATTTGCATTGCAACCTGAGTATATAAAAGGCGTCAAATAATAACCAGTTTCCAGTGTTCCCAGCATAATCTCACTTCCCTTTCCATCTACCATCTCTCAATTGGTTCAAATAGTTGCCTGCTCCAACACAACCGAAGAGCTTTGTGTTGTGCATAGCAAGAGGGGCACAGATTGGTTGATAGTCATCCTGGACATTTTATTCAGCATAGGAAATTAACACAAGGCTGGGCTCACTAGACTGAGCCCTGAACATACCACCTCCCTCTGAAACCCATCCCCCTTGGCCACCATTCTCTGTAAAAGAGAAACGATCTATTATTAAATGTCTAAAAAGCAATAAAGGCCCAGGTGAGGATTTTCTACCAGCAGAAATATTTAAGAACTTTGTTGATTGGTGGCATAGCACAAGTTGAGAACCTATTTGATTTCCTGTGAAGTTTGGTTTTATCATTGATGGAGGAAGGACTTCCATTTGGAGGGGGAATCATACAAGTAAAGAATGAAGTGTTTGTTTTCTTTTTACTCCCTTAATTTGGGGTAGAATTGGAGTGACTGAATAGAGCTGAGCATTTATTGGCCAGATGCCCTTCCTAATCCCTATGTGGAGTTCACAGCAGATATTTTTTCTTTGCACCCTGAAAGAGAAAAATCTGCCGCTACATAGGATTGAACTCTCAACCTTCCAAATGGGAGGCGAGCATCTTCAGCCTTAGGCTCACAAATAAAGAATGAACTAACATGATCAATCAAATTTAACATCAAGGATAGATTATCATCATCTGCAGCTATTATTATTTTTTCCTAACTAAGCATGTATTGATTTAATTCATTAAGTAGGAAGAAAATATAGCAAGTAAAATGTTTGACCTTAAGTGCAGGGATCAGTTTTGACACAATAGTTATTTCTCTGCATTTCTATAGAAAGAGCAGTCTCATTTAAGTTTGAAAATATCTGTGCTACTCCAGTAAGTGGTTTAATCTAGGAAGTGTGGAAGTAAAATATAGATGAATAATTCACAAGCAATTCAACAGAATCTTTGCTAGTATATTGGTATGACAACAGTGAGTCAGAAGCAGATTTGCTTCACAGCATATGACAAGCATATTAATTTTTTGTCTATTGTCTCTTATTTTTCAAATCTTCAGTTCAGGTGTGAATTTATTCAGGCAATTTCAAAACTTCCAGTCAAGAGCCTTCCAGGGAAATGCCAAGCATCAGCTATGGATGTGGAAAAACAGTTTTTTTCCACAGAATAACCATAGAAGTATAATAGGAACAAGTTATTATAATTCAGACTTTATACAGGATTTCATTCAGCCCTACAGAAACAATTCATAAGAAAATATATTCTATAGTATTAAGAACTAAGAGACCAGATATTGTCCATTACATGGTCATCTAGAAGACTCAGCTTTTCCTCCACAGTGTTCTATGGCTATTTCTAATGACAAATAATTGCGTCATGATAACCACCATTTATTGCATTCATACAATTGTCATAATATGTGTGAGAGTGTATAGAATTATATATGTATATTTCTGTTATAATTAAAATGAGCCTGAAATACTCATTCAAAAGGATAAGATGCAGGTACGTTTTGAATATCGCTGCTTTTTGCCTGCTCGGCATTAAAGTGGAAAGTAATTGCCCTTGTAAGTGCATCTCATTCAATTGTTATTTTGACTGAAATATTGGATTTTGGCCTTTAGGTCTCTAAAGTTCTATTAGTTGGTATCCTTGAAAAGAATGGATTGTCACCTGCAGGTTAGTCCAATTCCAGGGCCAGGGGTAGATGGTTGCCGACTGAAATAATTACTGCCTAAGGTGCCTTAATAGCTATAGTGATATCTATGGTCAATAGCTATAGTGATATCCCTTGCACCGCCTGCCCCACCGCATACATTGGACAAACTAACAGAAGAATAAGTGCACGCATTGAAGAACATAAGAACTCAATCAAAAAAGAAGAACCAACCTCTTCCCTGGTCCAACACCTCAAAGCCACAGGACATGAGATTGAGTTTAAAAATACCAGAACTATCACCAAAACCGAACACTTCAACAACAGAATAATCAGAAAAGCCATAGAGATAGAAAAACACCCACACAGTATGAATAAACGAGATGACACCTCCCGCCTACCAGCCATTTGGAAACCCACCCTCACGAACAGACGAGTACCTAACATGAAGAATGACACCATACCCACACCCACGAGGGCCACACAAGATGCTACCACCACACTTCCACGTAGAAAGCAGACTCACACCCACACAGAAGATGAGACACGACCATGGACCAGAAGCCGTACTGCAGCTGCATCACTACCCACTTCAAACCCCTCCAAGCCATACATGAAGCGAACTGATACCCACCATGAAGATGCAGCACGACCACGAACGCGAAGCCAAACAGCAGGATCACAGCCCACCAGCTCAAATCCCCAAGCAACTAAGACTAACCTGAGCACAACCAACCCCCACCTGAACAGAACACGCCTCCAGCCAATCAGAACATGACCAACCCCCCCAATCAATCAGAACACAGCCAAACCCCCAGCCAATGAGAACACACCCCCACCCAATCAGAACACAGCCAAGCCCCCCCAATCAAGTCACACCCCCACTAGCAGTTAAAAGGAAGAAGCAGCTGCAAGCTCACATTACTCTGAGAAGCACAGAGCAGAAGACACAAGCCTGAAGATGATGAATGAGACTTCATCAAAACGTTGCCTAGATACTTCCAAACTTACACGAGAGAAAACCCAAATAACCAAAGATAGATAGATAGATAGATAGATAGATAGATAGATAGATAGATAGATAGAT